CTATTTGCAAACTGGAGAGCCAGAAAAGTTGGTGGTGTAGTTAGAAGGCTGTAGAACTGGCAGTGTAGACTGCAGCCTGAGTCTGAAGGCCTGAGAATCAGGAGTTGCCGAGGGTAGGAGAAGACCAATGTCTCAGCTCAAGCAGTCAAGCAGAGAGCCAATTCAACCTTTCTCTGCCTTTTGTTTATTCAGGCCTTCAACAGATTGTATGATGCTCAACCACACTGAGGAGGGCCATCTGCCTTACTTAGTCCATCAATTCATATGCTAAGTTCTTCCAGAAACACCCTCACAGACATACTCAGAAGTAATATTTAATCAGATATCCAGGCATCCTGTTGTCCAGTCAAGATGACAAACAAAATTAACCATCACGGATCCCCTCTGGGTGAAGGCTCAAGATACCAGTTTGAGATAATCCCCAACTATCCTGCTCCCCACCCTGAATAACTAAGGGGACAGTGCTCTCCAGACAACCTCATCCTTTCAGAAGTCCTACAGATAACCCACAAGAAACGCATGGCTGTGCTGCCCTGGGGCAGGGGTAGTAGGCTGGATGAGGATCTGGGTTTCAGAATCAAATGGATGCGTATGATTTGCCCCCCACCTCCCCAGGCAAAGTGAGAACAGTGCCCTTGAGGGTGAGAAGTACACTGCAGGAGGAAAAGAAGAGAAGGGAACAGGGTTCAAGCCCCAATCTCTGCCCTCATGTGTGGTCTGGTACATAGCATCCACACTCTCCCCTTTCTCCTCCCTGGAGTTAGGGTTCCTATGTTGAGGGTCTCCAGCCTTACCAAACAGGTTTTATATCCTCCCAGGTCTCCCAAATCTTCCACCCAGAACATGCCACATATTTCTGAAGGTCCTTTTGTCAAAAAGCATTGGCCTGGGAATATCAAGGTGGTTCCTGATCAGTGAAACCACCCACACAGTGTTTATACTCATTTATAGATGAAATGGGCTCCCATAGGACCCTTTCATAGACTATTAGATGTAGGCAGCTGTGCTCATCAGGAAGGAAAGATAAACATGAGGATCAACAGTTGCATCTTAAGTTGCTAGAAAAGGTAAAAACAATAGCCCAAGGGAAACAGAAAAAGATAGAAAGGCAGAATTTTTTTTTTTGAGTTGAAGTCTCACTCTGTCGCTCAGACTGGAATGCAGTGGCATGCTCCCGGCCACTGCAGGCTCGACCTGCTGGGCTCCGGCGATCCTTTCACTCAGCCTTCCAAGTAACTGGAACTACAGGTATGTGCTACCATGCCCAACTAGTTTTTTGATTTATTGTAGAGATGAGGTCTCGCCAAGTTGCCCAGGTGGGTCTCGAACCCGCAGGCTCAGGCAATTCACTCACCTCGGCCTCCCAAAGCACGGGATTACAGACTGAGCCACTGTAAATAAATATATTTTTATTTTTGTAGAGACATGGTCTCCTATGTTGAATAGGCTGGACATGAACAGAAATTTTTAATTGTATCAAAAATTGATAAATCAAAGATTGGTTATTTGCAAAAATGAATAAAATTTGATAAACCAATGGAAAATTCACTATAGATATATGTATATATATATCTAGAGAGAGCAATAATAAGAAACCCTAGGCCATGTTTTGAGCCAGTTCAGTGGTAGGAGAGGAGCTAGGTGACACAGTGCTGGAGGACAAAAGGGGAAGAAGTGGGAACGTTTATAAACAAATGTTTATTTCCTCTTCTGGATTTCACTTGGGTTTATGGGTGTCAGGAATGACTCTGGGCTCCTGTGGCTATGGTCTGAGGCCACAGCCATTGTACAACATGAAGGTCGTTACAGAGGGTTGCTGACTGATTCACTGACTGAATAAACTCTGGCTCAAAAGGCAGCTGACTTCCCAGCTCCAGTTCCAGAGAAAGGAGACTACTGATTGTCTATGAGGCGAGGGCTTCAGACAGTAGTCAGGCTTGGGGCAAAGCATGCATTGAGCAGTATAACTAAAGCAGCGTGGTTATCAGTGTGTCAGTTATGAGTCCAAGGGACTTATACTGCTCTTGCCTGGCATTTCCTAACTCCTACTCAAGTTTCATGATGGAGTAAATGTCTTCTCCAGGAATCCTTCCCTAGCTAACTTCAGCTGAGTAGGTAGGTGCTAAACCTGGTGCCCCATGTCCTTGGGCATTTTTCTACTAAAGTACCTATCCCACTACATTTTCAAAAACCTCTTTTTTTTTTGAGTTGGAGTCTCACTCTGTCACCCAGACTGGAGTGCAGTGGCTGCTGCCGGCCACCGCAGCCTCGACCTGCTGGGCTCCGGCGATCCTTCCGCCTCAGCCTTCCAAGTAGCCGGAATTACAGGCATGCGCTACCACGCCCGGCTGATTTTTTGATTTATTGTAGAGATGAGGTCTCACTGCCCAGGCGGGTCTCGAACCCGTGGGCTCAGACAATCCACTCACCTCAGCCTCCCAAAGGCACAGGATTACAGGCTGAGCCACCGAGCCCGGCTCAAAAACCTCTTTTATGTCTTATTTTTATTATGAAAAATTTCCAACATATATAACATATACAAAAATATCCAGAATAGGATAACAAAGCCCATGTATCTGACACCCAGTTTAACAGCTACCAACTTACAAACAATTTTCATTTATATTACCTCTCATCTCAGCTTATTTTGAAACAAATTCCAAACTTCACATCATTTTTTTTTTTTGGAGTTGTGTTCTCACTTGCCTAGGCTGGAGTGCAGTAGCATGCTCACAGTCACTGCAGCCTCGACCTTCGGGGCTCAGGTGATCCTTCCACCTCAGCCTTTCAAGTAGCTGGAACCACAGGTGCAGACTACCATGTCTGGCTAATTTTTTTTTTTTTTTACTTATTGTCTCTATGGTGCCCAGCTGGTCTTGAACCCCTGAGCTCAGGCAATCCTCTTGCCTCAGCCTCCCAAAGTGCTCGGAATGCAGGCTTGAGCCACTGTGCCTGACCACTTCACATCATTTTATCAATAAATACTTCATTAAACTATCCTAAAAGATAGAGGTGCTTCTTTAAAAAAGTATAACCATAATCCCATTATCACAAAATTAACTATTCCTTAATGTCATCAGATATCCAATGTTTGTATCTCTCTGATCATCCCATCATGTTCTGATAGCTAGTCTTTTAATTGTCTACTCAACTAGACCTGACCAGGGACATAGGCTGCCCTATAAGTGCCTCAGCCCTTATCCATCACTGCCCTAAGGACTGATACACCTGAGTTTAGACACCCAGGTGAAAAAAGCTACTACTTATAGGTAAGCAAAGACACTGAGTACCTGGGTGGAAGGAGACTCCTTCCCCTACTATAACATGAAGAACTGTCCTTGGCATGGATGCTGGCCAAGCCTAGCCAGGTGCTCAGAGCCTCAACTTCAACTCATTCAGGGAACCTTTCCATCCAAGTACTAACCAGGCCATACCCTGCTTAGTTTCCAAGATCAGATGAGAGCAGGCATGTTCAGGGTGTTACAGTCATCTCCTCTGCCAGAATCGCCAGGGTCAGGACACAAAGATTTGGGGGAAGTGCCTTCTGAACATTTGATGTGTTGCCCTTCCTGAAACCAAGTGGCCTGACCAGAATGGAACCACACTGGGCATAGTAGGATGCCTGATACTCTGCACCACTCTGCGAGCCCTAGGAGAGAAAGGTCAATGCCAACCACCAAAGAGAACTCAACATGAGGTCTGCTTTGTGACAGAGAGGCACCAAAACAGACAACACTGTTCACAGAAAGGGGACCAGTCCTTTGCTGGACTGTCCTAAAGGCTCAGTTCAGGAACTATCCCCTCGGAGAGGCTTTTCCTGATTCCTCTGTCCACTCCTCCCTGGGCAACAGTAAGTGGCCCTCTGACCTCCTAGGATTGTTACCCTGAGCAATCATGGGAGCTCAGTGCCAGGCTGACCCCAGAACAGACACCAGTGGCTGTGAAAGAAATCTACCATGGGCCCCTTTGCAGAGCCTCTTGCCCATGCAGCCTGCACACAACACTAACTGTTAGGGTTGATACAGGGCCAAAGGCTGCCGGATGGCAACCTATGGTTTCCTCCTGCTGCTAGAAGGATTTCCTCAGGCATCCTTCTGGTCAGAGTAGTCTGTGTGAAATTGGGCTGCAAACCGCAAATATCCCTTCAAACTCTTCCTGCAGGCTTGGACCAGCCTGATTTGTGCATTTGGGCCTCAAAGCTGGTTTGGCCTGCATCCTTTTCTCAGATGGGCACGTGTGTGACAAACAGCCCACCAGAGGGGTGAGGGAAGGCGGGGGCAGGTGGGATCATGTGTGTTCTGCCATCTCCACAAAAGGCAGTCTTCACTCCAGCCTCGTGATGATGAGATCAGGCACAGACAGCAGCCTGAAAACACTGGGCGGAAGGGAGCAGCCATTAGCACTAATGAGGCAGGTGGCCTGAAAGCTTTTTACTCCGAAGCGGCTTGTCCACCCAGGGAACAGTTCGTTCTGCTTCCTTGGCTTCCAGGAACCCTAGGCAGAAAGGGGTTTGGGGGTAGGATTAGGAGTGGGTGGGGGGTCTTGGAGAAACCTGGAGGAAGAAGGGGAGTGGAGGCATGACCAGGGATGCAGTCAGGAGGGCCTGATATTGCCTGGGTGGGCTTCTCCCTTCCCCTCTACTCCCAAAGAAACCCAGGTCTGGTTCTGCATTCTACTGCTGCTCCACAGTGACCACTGACTCAACACCCCCTTTAATGCCCTTGACCCAAGTTCCTGGAAGCAAAGGAAACAATGTGGCACATAGGGTCTGAGTATCTCCGGGGCCACAAATTAAATTAAGCTTTCAGGGCCGCCTGCCTTGTTATTACTAATGGTTTCAGTCTGGCCCATCTCCTAAGTCCTTGTCTTGTGGAAATTTGGGGGCCCTGGGCATCCTACCTTGTTCCCAAACTGATTGGCTCCTAGAGACCTCACCCCAGATTGGACATGGGCAAATTGGAGATGGAGAAAACTCAGGTTCCAGGGAATGAGGTCTGAACTGTGCCCCCACCCTCCTGGAGAGCCCTGCATGCCCCGGCTGCAGGCAGCAGTCACGTGCAGGCCCTTCATTAGGCCGTGCCATATAAGCCGAGGGCACTGAGCGGCTGGAAACTCTCTAGCAAGGGTCCAGCAAGCAGAGGTAAGTCCTCAGGTTGGGCTGGGACTCCTACTCTCTAGGGAGCCTCTACCTGGGCATGTAGGGGGTAATCTAAGGATGAGTAGGGAACTAAGTGGTGGGTCTTCCTGCTAAACCAGGCCATGCTGACTGCAGTGCTGCTGACCTGTGTCCTGCTATTGGCACTGCCCGTTATGCAGGGGGCCCAGATGGGCTTGGCCCCCCTAGAGGGCATCAGAAGGCCTGACCAGGCCTTGTTCCCAGAGCTCTCAGGTCAGTGTGGGCAAGAGTGGGACTGGGTGGGACCTGAACATCCTCCAGCCACAAACCTTCTCCTGTTATAAGCCCTCCTTCTCCTTTCCCCAGTTCCAGCAGTGGAAGGTGGGTGCTTTGTACATGGAGGGGGGTGGGGGTCCTGCCCTCACATCCTCTGTTCTAGGTCTGCGCCTTCCAGCCCCACTGAAGAAGACATCTGCAGAACAAGCAGAAGAAGCTCTGTTGCAGGAGGCCGAGGCTTTGGCAGAGGTAACTTCTCAGGGAAAGGGGCAAGGAGGCAGCCCTTGGGAGGAGGCATCAGGTACAACCCCCTCTTCCCAGCTCCAGAGTTCCTCAATAGGGTCGACACCGCAGACCCTACGTTCCCCACGCTCCACTGCTATTCTGCAGGGATTGACAGGTGAGATTCTTGGACCTATCTTTGGAGACTCATGCCCACATTACTGCTTCCCTGCCCCTGCAGGTGCTAGACGCGCAGGACCGTGAGCCCCGCTCCCCGCGTCGCTGCGTACGGCTGCACGAATCCTGCCTGGGACAGCAGGTACCGTGCTGCGACCCGTGCGCCACATGCTACTGCCGCTTCTTCAATGCCTTCTGCTACTGCCGAAAGCTGGGTACTGCCATGAACCCCTGCAGCCGCACCTAGCTGGCCGATGTCGGGGTCGGGGTTGGGGCAGGGAAACGCGAATAAAGGATGGGACTAACCCCAAAGTTGTGGTTATTTCGAACGTGGTCGTCAAAGGTAGGGAGTGTTCATGGGAGGATCGGGAGTGTGGCCAAGCCAAGAAACTGCACACACCCTTACCCCAGGGCCTAGGTTATCCTAACATCTGAGGCACATACACAGGCGCTTTTAGGGTGCCGTCGGAGAAAGCGGAGGAGAGCTGGACTCCGGTCCTCGAGAATCTAAACACGGGGAAAGCGAGGCGCAGCGCGACACCGGGGCTGTAATTCCCGCTAGCGAATAAGCATTAGGCTCCGGAACCTGCTTGCGGCTACTTCGACACGTGACCTTTCAGCAAAGCCGGCTCCTCACCAGACCTTGGTTCCCCTTTCGGGGGAGGCTCACTCAGCAGTCTAGAATCTTTCCAAGCATGAGAAGCACAGTTCACTCCCATCTTTACCCCGTCGGCCCCGGCAGTGCCAGGCGCATCAAACCCCTGAATGCTAGAGAGGGCCCAATAGAATCCCCGCGACCACAGGCGTCACTGCGTGGCCGGCCTCAAACACCCAAGTCGCTCTCACGCCAGAGCGCAAAACGCCCTCCTCGCCTCAGTGCGCAGGCGCCGGGGGTGGGGGGGGCGTCTCCAGCCTACGCCTGCGCAACGCTTCCGCACGAAACCACCCGGAAGCCGGGCGTCTCTCAGAGCTGCGCGGGTTGTGGTCACGTGAGGCGCCTGTGCGTCACCTGACGTGTCTGACAGTCCGCTGCGGACGCCGGGTCAGCTGATCTGGGAGTCGCGCAGGGTGCCGGCAGGTCGGGGTTCTCCGGTCTCGCCACCCCCGTCGCAGCCATGTCGTTCTTCCCGGAGCTTTACTTCAACGTGGACAATGGCTACTTGGAGGGGCTGGTGCGCGGCCTGAAGGCTGGGGTGCTCAGCCAGGCGGACTACCTCAACCTAGTGCAGTGCGAGACGCTCGAGGGTGAGCCCCGGGGTCGAACGGAGGGGCCTTGAAAAGCTAGGATGGAGGCGGGCCAGGGCCTTGAGGGCTCCGAGGTTTGGGCCGGGAAACCGAAAGCAGGGGCGTCTTGAAGGGCTTCTCTGGGAATCCGGGGGCTGATGGCGGGCGCGCGGGAATGGGATCTCTCTCTAGCTGCGACGCTGGCCCAAGCGCAGACAAGGCTTTAACCTTTGTTGTTCGCCTCTGCTTGGGCCGCCACTTTTTCCATTAGGCTCGTGTAATTTGAAAGGAGGGGTTCTCTCAGGAGTCGTCGGCCGGTGCGAGGTGTGGCTATACAAGCCTCTTTACCCAGACGTAGCCAGAGAGCTGTCCTAAGGCAACGCTTAGGGAAGCTAAGCGGAAAAGCCCTCTACCCCCCTCCCCAAGACATTTGGGATTATTGTGTCTTCGCGTTGGCCTGGGGTGGGGGTTAGCCATCCTGGGGAATTGCTGAGCCAGTTTAGCGAGGGTTTCCTCCAAACTCTGAACCGCTGGGTGGGCAGTCTTTTCTGAAGGCAGTGTTTGGGAGAGCAAGAATGACCCTGCCAATCTGGAAATTCATGTCCAAATATTTGGCCATTAAATCCCACCCACTTCAGTGAGGCAAGGGGGAGGGAGGGAATAATGCCTGTTGGAACACGGCTTCTTAACACAAGAGTGATGAGAAGCTGAGCTCCCCTTCTCAGCACACAGCTTAAAAGTGGGGTTACTCCCGGAAGCACAGCTGCAACAGATGTACTGAGTTAGAGATGTTCTTAATTCCAGTCTTCGCCTCCTCCGTTCCCAGGTAGTAGTAAAGGGCAGGGTGACTGGGATATGAATTTCCATCCCTGACCCCCAAGTGAGATCGTTGAGCAGAAATGCTGATAACTTTTGGTTGGTTGCTGAAGAGGAAAGATGGCCAGATGATTCACCTACTGGAGAAAATTTTCTCATCAAAAAATGTCTTGAGGTTTAAAACTAGTGCAAAGAAAAAAATTAGTTTTTGTTTACCTTGCAAACTAGACTGGTAAGGTGAAAATAAATACTCTTAAGATATAAAACTTATTGAAGTTAAAATATAATAATTGTAGATTTTATGATTTTAACATAAATCTGTAAGAAAAGTTGTTTACCTCCTTTATGTGGAGGTAGAGAAGGGGAACAGAACACTTTAGGGTTCTGGGTTATAAGAGTCTGCCAACCATCTGATTGACCTCAGTGTGGAAAAAAGAGGAGAAACAGAGGGAAGCTGCCTGGGACAGGGCCTGACCCACAGTTGGCACTTAATGTAAGTTTGTGGGCTGACTGAGACTTGTGGAAGATCCTTATTTGCCTAAATCTAAAGGCGAACATCATTGGTCATCAGTGGTGTTTGATTGGCTTGTTTCTCTTCTTGACTTTTCCTTGCTTCTGCTGCTGCCTGCTGCCCTGTAGAACTTCTGGGAGCACAGGGTTCCCATCTTCCCAGCAGACCCTCCATCATCCATCATAAATATGCTAGGCCATTCTTCTTATAACACTGCTCAGCACATAGTCCCTCTCGTGGAACACCATCCAGACCTTTAGTATGGCATTCAGGGATTCCTTGCGCTTTTTTGACCCCGTGGGCTCAGGGAAACCTCTTACCTCGGCCTCTCAAAGTGCTAGGATTATAGGCGTGAGCCACTGTGCCCGTCCTCCCCCTTGTGTTTTCACACACATTTCTCTCCTTCCCACAAGTCACCTCTCCAGATCTTGGTGCACATAGTGTGGTGGACTTTGGAGTTGGGCAAAACTAGGTTTGAATCCCAGCCCTGCCAACTACTGGATTACCTTAGACAAGTTATTTAACATCTCTGTGACTTGGGTTTTTCATGTGGTGTGTTAACAGCACCTATCTCATAAAGGTTGGGAGATGTCAATACGCTACTACAGGTGAAACAGTCCAGCACCAGAGACAGAATAAGCGCAAGGTAAATGTTAGCTCTTGTTTTCAGTATTATTTGCACCAACTGTTCCCTCTGCTTCCTTGTTATCCTGGTGGCGTCCAGTGATTCCTGCCCTTTAAGGCCCAGCCCGGTACTACCTTATTTGTGGCCTTAATAGGCCAGAATGTTGTTCTCTCCACTCAATCACAACTCCTGTGGTATTTGTTGTGTTTCCTAGAAGTTTCCTTTTTTTTTTTTTGAGTTGGAGTCTCTCTCTGTCACCCAGACTGGAGTGCAGTGGCACACTCACGGCCACCACAGCCTCGACCTGCTGGGCTCTGGCGATCCTTCTGCCTCAGCCTTCCAAGTAGCTGGAACTACAGGCACATGCTACCACACCCAGCTAATTTTTTGATTTATTGTAGAGATGAGGTCTCGCCAAGTTGCCCAGGCGGGTCTCGAACCCACGGGCTCAGGCAATCCACTCATCTCAGCCTTCCAAAGCGCGGGATTACAGGCTGAGCCACCGAGCCCGGCTCCTAGAAGTTTCTTGAAACAGAATTTGGGATTCTTGGAACCTTAGATACTGGGGATGTTCCAGACTTTCTTTCAAGTGCTGGGGATAACCAGGAGTGACCAGACTTGTTCTCTACAGAAAACTTCTCTGCTTCTGGAGGTGACATCAGAGGCTTGGCATCTAGGCTACTATTGCTGGAGGTTTTTGCCTCCCCATCTCTAGGGGAAAGGGGAAGGAGGTGGGAAGGGGAGACCGAGGAGTCTGTTGTCCCCACCTAGATTGTAGATGTGTCGTGAAGTGATGAAGTTTCCAAGGAACAAACATGTTTCAGGTGTTAGAAAGTTTCCAGATGACACAAGGCCTTGGATAGTGTTTATTTGTTCTGTAAAATAGGACAAGTGTAGCCCCTCCACTGCACCCTAGTCTTCTTCCCTGGGTCCCACTCCAGCAGAGCATCTGCTACTGACCTCTTCTCTTAGAACTCAGTCTCTCAGGACTTCTGAAGCTCATGCATCTTCCATTATCCATCTTGCTTGATTACCTCTTCTCAGGAGTATGAGAAAGAAACTGCAGAGGTCATTTCCCTTTGGTGAACTGAGAGAATAGACCTGGGTTGGCACAAAAGCTCTTTCCAGCTTTATCTGGTTGTGTTGAATACCTTCTGGAAGCTGAGTCCTGGTGCTAGGCTTGTGGAAAAGAGGAGGTGGGTCAGAGACATATGAAGATAAATCATATGTTACTATTTTGTTTTTGTTTTTTTGAGTCAAGGTCTCATGCTGACACCTAGTCTGGAGTGCCCTAGCATGATCATGACAGTCACAGCTCATGCAGCCTCGACCTCCTGGGCTCAGGCAATCCTTGTACCTCAGCCTCCTGAGTAGCTGGGACTACAGGCATGTGCCACCATGCCCTGCTATTTTTTTTTTTTTTTTGGTAGAGGTGAGGTTTCTCTATGTTGCCCAGGCTGGTCTTGAACTCCTGGGCTCAAGCAATCCACCTGCCTTGGCCTCTCAAAGTACTGGGATTACTGGTATGAGCCAGTGCTCCCAGCCGACTTTGAATGTTTTCATTCATTCACTATCCCTGTAATGGAGTACCATTTAATGCAAGGTACTGCAATAGGGGCTGAGATACTTCATTAAATGATTTTTATCTTGACACCCACCCCGTGGAGGTGGAGGTCAGTGGAGCAGGAACAAACTCTCAGTGTAGCATGGTGGTTACAATGGTGGGCTTGCTACTTCATGACTCTGTGACCATGAGCAAGGTATGTAACCTCTCTGTTATGAATTTTATTATCTGTAAAATGGTGGTAATAATAACATCTAATGCTTGGGAGTGTAATCCGCATAAAGTGCTTGGTACCTGGGAAGTGCTCAGTCAGTGTGATAGCTAGCGTTATTGTTATGATTATCAAGTATACAAAATAAATATACAACTATATATATATATTTTTTTTTTTTTTTTTTTTTTGAGTTAGAGTCTCACTCTGTTGCCCAGACTGGAGTGCAGTGGCTGCTCCCGGCCACCGCAGCCTCGACCTGCTGGGCTCCGGCGATCCTTTCGCCTCACCCTTCCAAGTAGCCGGAATTACAGGCATGCGCTACCACACCCGGCTGATTTT